GGTAGCCTGTTTGGATATATATTGATATGCATAAGAGATATATACACATACGCACATACATGTACATAAATACATGCATATACTGTATGTGTATGTATTTGGACAAGGCCAATGTGAGAATATGTTTTGTTTGATTACACATGTTTGTAAAGGGGCTTTTTGTTTTTGTTTTCTGTTTTTTGGGGTTTTTTTGACTGTTCATTGACAGGAGTGAGGGGAGATGGGAAGGAGAGATGGTAGATCTTTGTTATTTTTTAATAAAAAACAGAAAAACTAAAGGTTGCATACTTTGTCCATCACCTCTCTGTCAGGAAATATGTAATATGTTTTGTTACCAGTCCTCTGGTATTATAGTTCATCGCTAATTTGATCCGAGTTGTCTTTCTTGTTTTTTCTTATCTTTTCTTATTTTTCTTTACAAAAAAGATTGCTGTTTACAATGCTGCTATATAAATTGTTCTCCTGCTCATTTCATCAGTTCATACAAGACTCCCTAGGCTTGTCTGAAACCATCCCTTTCAATTATTTCTTAATGTACAATAATCCATTATATGCATATACTATATTAATAGTGAACATAAGTCTTTTGACTACCAGCCTTCATTTTCCATTAGATGGTCACATGTATCTAAGTATGTGTGTGTGTGTTTACATATTTGAGTTACTTATATGTGTATAGAATACATAATCATGTTTACTTGCTTAAAAAGTACTGTCAGAAGACAAAAAAGAGTTTTTCACGAAAAAATAAACCTTATTTATTTCGGAAATTCCCTACCTTTCTTCCTCCTCCTATCTGCCAATGCCTTTTACTAAAGGGGAATGACTGGATAAAGTCCTAATGGAGCTGGCTCTAGGCCCTACTATTATTCCTGTACCTGTGATGGAAGGGAGGGTATTGGCTCAGCTATGGAACCAAGATGAATAGAAATGATGACATGCTACCTATGGCACAAGACAGGGTACTTGTATGGCCATTTTCCCCAGACTCTGAGAGCAATGTGCTATAATGATAGAGATAAGAGGTAGAACTGGACTCAGAGCCAGGAAGACCTGAGTTCAAGTGTCATTTCTTATACTTACCGGCTATGTGACCTTTGCTGAGCACCTTAACCTTGGAGTGCTATCAGCAGCTCTCTAAGGCTACAAGTTTCAGAGAAGGTGCCAACCTGTACTGGTAGCAGGAGTTTCCTCTTCAGGAGTTCCCTATACCAATGATATTGCTGATCTGTTCCCTGACCCTTCCCCAGACCTATTAGTTAAGTGCAGAACTGTCACCTTGAATAAGACAAAGAAGTTTACCCAACTTTGGATTTACTGCCCTGGCTTACTCCTGAGCTACTGCATATTCATATGCAGTATGTGGCCATTTTTCTATTGGAGAATGCTTTTATTTTTATAAAGATTTCACTCCAAGTTGTACCTCTGGGTTCTAGGAGTACAAATCTGATTCCTCTAATGTGTGACAGCCCTGAAAATACTGGAAGATCACTATCATGTTACCACCCCCTCTCTCCCAAGTCTTCTTTTCTCCTGTTTAGCAATCCTTGTCTCTGACCTTGGAGAGCTAGGAAAGTGATCCTTTTAAAAGTGATATTTTCAGACCCAGAAGTTCTCCCCAGGAGGAGAACTTCTTATCCCTGCCCTGTTGGAGTTATGTGTATTTATTTACTCAGTCATCAGTCTCTCCAGCTGGACATAATTTCCTGCATCACTGGGCACAAGGGCATGTGATTAAATCAAAGCAAAGTTAGAAAGTAGACTTGGTTTAAATAATAAACAAAACTACATCTGAATATGTTTGTCCACACCAAGATTCAGTAATTTGGGAACTGAACAGAGCAAAGCTGGATTTTTTGATGATGAAATTCAGATATGAAACACCTGGTAGACTAATTTTCTTGTATAAACAGCTTAATTCCAGTATTTATTGAGCTAATCAAAACTCATTTTTTCTCTCACATCCCTTATTTCTTTAACCCTTCAGTGTTACTGTTATCTTTTCTTTCTGTGTTGCCTTATTTTCTTAGTCCCATACTCAACGCAAAACAAATTCCTGCACTGATCATGTCCAAAAATGTATGTCTCTATCTGAATCTTGAATCCACCTTTCAGAAGGTTGTTACTGGAGCCCCTCCTCAATCCTCTGGAATCATAGTTGACCACAGCATCAGTCACAGTTCTTAAGTCTTTCTTAGTTGTTTGTCATTATGATGCTGTTGTTGTGAATTAGTGTTCTTTTGGTTTTGCTCACTTCATTCTGCACCAGTTCATGTAAGTCTTCCTAAGTTTCTCTGAAAACATTCCTTTTGTCATTTCTCATTCCGTCGTATTCATATACCATAATTTATTCAG